AGTGTCATATGCGATGGTCGCAGGATCTCCTAGCCAGAGCACCAGCCCCGCTCTTCATGGTCTTGGAGCATCATTTCTGTTTGGGCAGAAAATCTACCTTTATAGTTTCTTAGTCATGTAAGAGAGGGAAGAGAAAATAACATTCTAAAATTCGGGCTTATTTGCCTCTTCTTAGAGAAACAGGAGTAAAAAATGTATTATAGTCGGGTACCATGGCTCATGCCTGCAATCCCAACACTTTGGGAGGCCGAGGAGGGAGGATCACTTGAACCCAGGAGCCTGAGCCTACAGTGAGCCATGATCGTGCCACTGCATCCAACCTGGGCAACAGAGTGAGACCCTGTCTCAAAAAGAAAAAATTAAAAAAGTATTATCAACCAGGAAAACAGTTCCATGTTCTGTTCCTCAGTCAGAAACAATGTTAAGATTTAAACCTGATTATTTTGTTTTATGTCAATAATAATATTTTATTATTATTATTATTAGAGATGGAATCTCGCTCTGTAGCACCCAGGCTGGAGTGCAGTGGCTGGATCTCGGCTTACTGCAACCCCCGCCTGCCGGGTTCAGAGGATTCTCTTGTCTCAGCCTCCTGAGCAGCTGGGATTACAGGCACACACCACCATGCCCAGCTAATTTTTTTGTATTTTTAGTAGAGACAGGGTTTCACCATGTTGGCTAGGCTGGTCTCGAACTCCTGACCTCAGGTAATCCATCCACCTCGGCCTCCCAAAGTGCTGGGATTACAGGTATAAGCCACCACACCTGGCCTGCTTCATTCTTCTAATGGCTGCATGGATCCCATTTTATGACTGTGTCATATTTTATTTAAACAGTCCCCTGTTGATGAAATTTAGATTGTTTCCAGTTTGGTTGTCATTAAAAGAGCTATAATGAACTTTCTTGTTTGTTTATAGTGGCTACTTCTGCAAAGCTACCCACGGGATGAATTCAGACTTTGTAATTACTAAGTCAAAGGGCATGTGTATTTAAATTTTTGTTTTAAATGTATTGCCAAACTGCTCCACAAAAAACCTACCAATTTGTACTCCAACCATACATGTATGCAAGTAGCTATTTCCTTAAGCCTCATCAACACTGGGAATTATCAATCTTTCAGTTGCTAACAACTTGGAAATTTTTAAAGGCACCTGGTGGTTTCGTTTCTTACTGAATTATGAATGAGGATTAGAATTTTTCCAGAATGTTTGGTCACTTTTCTCTCTCTCTCTCTCTTTTTTTTTTTTTTCAAATAGCCTGTTCAAATCCTTTACCCATTTTTCTTAGGATTGTTCATCTTTTGTGTTGATTTATATGAGCCTTCCACAAATTAAGGAAAAGAGGCTTATGTGTGGCAAATACCCTTCTTTCAGTTTGTTATTTTTATTTTGTTTATTGGTATGTTTGCCCATAGAAGCTTCTAATTTTTATGGCTCTTACTTTGTCCATCTTCTCCTCTACAGCTACTAAATTCTGGGGTCGGTTCCCAAAGGCCTTCCTTAGCCTCTGATTATGAATAAATTCACATACATTTTCCTGTAGAATTTTTATGATTTTAATTTTTATGTTGAATCTTTGAACCATGTGAAAATTATTTTGGTATGAAGCATGAAGTAGAGATTGCTCCCGAATGGCTAGCCAGTTGTTCCAGTGCCATCTGTTAGAAGGCCCCATTTCATTTCCAGCCTCTCTCCACCCTCAGGGCTACGCGGCTCTGTGGAGTCCCCGGAGTGGGACCCACAGAAGTGCCACGTTGCTTTCCCCGGGTCTGCCAGGACCCCTCAAAGGCCTGTGTCCTCAGGGAAGCAGAGAATCGGGCCACCGAGAGACAGAAAGGGCACCGCACTCTGCTAGACTCACAAAACAATAGTCTCCCAGTCCTGAGAAGTGGACTTGTCAGGATATTCAATGTTGAATGCCTTCCCTGTGAAGGAAAAAGAAGAGAAAGAACCGTCAGGGGAGGGCATACTCACCATATACAAAGTAGGAAGATGGCCACACCCATAGTTATAAAAACACACATGCATACACACACCAAATATGTACACATGCACTACACACATACACATACATGTGTACACACATGCATACACAAGTACATAGACACATCTCTCATACATCACATACAATGAGTTTCTCCAATAGGGGGCATCTAGTCCTAAACAGCCCTGTCAATAATAGGAACTCCAAGAATGATGAAGTCAATGTTTCTCAAACAATATCCAGACTACTTTGCAAAGATCAAAGAAAATCTGGAGGACCCCCAAGAATACATCTGCAAGACTCCAATTTGAAAATAAAACAAAATAACATGAAGAAAGAACCAAAGATTTATTCTATAAATATCTTCCAATTGCAAATTAACACATATTTATAACTGGTTTTTTTTAAGATGTAAATCATTATTTAAAAAGAAAAATGTAATTTTTTTTTTAGTCTCTCTTTGTCACCCAGGCTGGAGAGCAGTGGCATGATCTGGGTGGGCTCACCGTAGCCTCCGCCTCCTGGGTTCAAGCAATTCTCGTGCCTCAGTCTCAAGAGAGGCAATTCTCATGCCTCAGCCTTCCAAGTAGCTGGGATTACAGGCATGCACCACCACCCCCAGCTAATTTTTTGTATTTTTAGTAGAGATGAGGTTTTGCCATGTTGGCCAGGCTGGTCTCAAACTCCTGAGCTCAGGCAATCTGCCTGCCTCAGCCTCCCAAAGTGCTGAGATTACAGGCGTGAGTCACCGCACCAGGCCAGATCTGCAGTTTAATATCTTTCCCTATGTGTGAGTAAAATAAGCCTTTCTCCATGTATTGCTCCCTCTATTTCTCCCCCTACTCGTTCAGCAGGGCCAGGCTCCAGGCAACAAAATGGGATTCTCCTTTTTGCCTTGTCCTTTTATCTTTTTATGTTTTTCCAATTAAAATATTTTATGATTTTTACTGGAAATAGTTAAAAATCATTATGATTATAATAATGATTTATTATGTCTGCTATTATAAAAGTAGACAATTCAGAAAATGGAGATTAAAAAAAAAAATTAAGCCATCCCCTCTCTTTGACAGATAATATCCCTTTTGTAGTGGGCTTCTTTCTGGCCTGTTTCTTTGCTGAAGTATTTCCTGTAAATACCTGGCAAGGGCCAGCCCCACTGCAGTCACTCAGCACCTGTTGCTCTGCAGGGCTCCAGGGACCCCAGCTGACCTGGTAGCTCTGTATTCTCTCTCAAAGGCTGGAGCTGTGAAAAGGTTGGCCCGGAGTCTTTGACCCAGTTTTCTTCAAAGTGTTCTTCCAGAAACATTGTCTATTCTTTTCTGGAGACTCCCAAGGTTAGAGTGGCTGGGGACCCTCAGGACACTCTATCCCTCCCGAGACTAGAATGGAATTGAGGGGTGCTCATGACCCTCGCAGCCCAGTTCGCTCTCCGTCTGCTCCGCATCAGCCCTGCTGGTTCAGGGTCATGAAGTCTGGCCTTGGGCCAGAACAGTCCACTTTTCTGGTCAGCAGCCCGGTGGGGACTAAGGCTGAAAAGCACAGACGGAGGATCCCAGCTTCCTCCCTGACTCTGTCCCCACCAGGGTATGTGAGCTCCGACAGCCCCTCTGGGGCTGTACCCACCTGAAGAGGTAGTGGTGATTGTCCTCCTGGCTTGAAGGGTTTCTCACCCCTGCCCCACTCTCTCCTCCACTCAGAGTCAGACTCACAGGACCACTGGTGGCTCTCCCCATCTTCTCCAGTGCCTCCTCGTTTCCCTCACACAGGGAAATCTGTCTCATAGGACCCAGAGTAACATACAAATATGGAAAATAAAAAAACTAAGTGGCCGGGCTCAGTGACTCATGCCTGTAATCCCAACACTTTGGAAGGCCAAGGCGGGAGAATCACCTGAGGTCAGGAGTTCAAGACCAGCCTGACCAACATGGCGAAACCCCCGTCTCTACTAAAGATACAAAAATTGGCTGGGCGTGGTGGTGGGTGCCTGTAATCCCAGCTACTTGGAAGCTGAGGCAGTAGAATCACTTGAACCTGGGAGGCAGAGGCTGCAGTGAACCAAGATCCTACCACTGCACTCCAGCCTAGGTGACAGAACAACACTCTGTCTCAAAAAAATCATAATAATAAGTAAGACCCAGGTTTCTGGCTGTCTTCCTCAGAAGTACAGACCACACAGATGGTCATGAAACTTGCAAGACTTATTTGGGATGATCTGACTTAAAATGTGGGCTAAGTAACCTTTACAAAATTCATTTTGCAGGTTTCAGGAGTCCCTCAAACATCTGGGCTGTCATCCTTCAGAGAGGCTGGAACTGAGACCCAAGGAGAGACCTAGTGATCTCAGAGAGTTAGGATAAGCAGTGATTTCAAATGCATGTCCGTCACAGGTCACACGGAAGAAGGGTGGGGGGAAAGCCATGCAGGTGTGGGCGTGGCACTTGAGCAGCCTCTCCCATGGGCACCCAGTGGTTAATGCACATGGTTAGCACGTCTCCAAGGGAGGCCATCCCCTTCCGCTATCCCTTTCATGGCAAATGCTGGAACATGGTTGAAGACTCCTCTCAAGGGTCTCCTCTTCCAGGAAGCCTTCAGGCAAGAATAGGTGCCCCTTCTGGCTCCTGCTAGCCTGAAAGCCAATATGAAATCTCTCTGGGCTGAGCTGAGTCGTCATATTTTGTTGTTGTTGTTGCTGTTGTTTTACTTCGTCTCCGAGACAAGTTCAAAGTCATGCTTTTCATCAAGACCAGAAAATATACTTTGGCTCCATCGGCATCTTTGCCTCACCACACCCAGAATTTGCCTGTGCCCCAAAGGAAGCCCCGACAGCTGTTAAGCCTGAGCATCCAGACCCTAAAGCAAAGAGAAATGGGCCGGGAGGAATGGAGTGACAGGGCGGGGCCCATTTGCCTAGAGGTGCTTTGGGCTGGCTGGTCACAGAGGGTGACTCATTCCCCCAGAGAGGACCGGAGTGGCACCAGGGGACCATTGGGTTGGGGAGGGGAGCCTTTGTGGAGAGAGCCTGTCCCTGCCTTAAGTGCCTGCTGGACCCCGGGAGTCTGGGCTGGGGCCCGGACACTGCTTCCTCCTTGACCCCTCAGGCCCTTGGAAGCCAAGAGAGACCCTCTTACAGATCCCAGGCTCATCCCCAGTGCAGCAGACACCAGGAAGGTGGCCAGAGCCTCACTGAGCCCACCCGACGGCTGCCCACCCACCCAGGCTGGAGTCATGGATAAATTCCGCATGCTCTTCCAGCACTTCCAGTCAAGCTCAGAGTCAGTGATGAATGGCATCTGCCTGCTGCTGGCTGTGGTCACCGTCAAGCTGTACTCCTCCTTTGACTTCAACTGTCCCTGCCTGGCGCGCTACAATGCACTCTACGGCCTGGGTCTGCTGCTCGCGCCCCCGCTCGCCCTGTTTCTCTGCGGCCTCCTCGCCAACCGGCAGTCTGTGGTGATGGTCGAGGAGTGGCGCCGGCCTGCAGGGCACCGGAGGAAGGACCCAGGCATCATCAGGTGCGGTCCCACACCACTCAGTGACCCATGGGCTTTACCAGGGGCTCCCCAGCCACCCAGAGGCACTGCCAAGTGCACCCCCAAACCCCAACTATCCTCATTATCAGGGGATTCTCCACCCACCCTATAGGTACTGCCAGGTGCACCCTCTCCTTTCCCCAACTAGGAATTATCGGCTCACAGAGACCCACTTGCCAGTTTCCACTCTGGAAACATGTTTCTGTTTCTATCATTTGTCACCTTTCCATGGCCAGTGCTGTAAACATAGGAATGACACAGAATTCTCAATTACCCAGGCCACTCTAGGGGCTGCGGGAAAACTTCCTCTTTGCCCTCTGAAGTTCTGCTGAAAATCAACTGGCAAAAGGCAGATTAATAAGAGAAAAGGCATACAAATTTATTTGATTATCATTTTATGTGCCGCAGAAGACTTCAGAATAAAGACCTAAAGATACAGGGGAAATGGTCCATTTTTATGCTTAGGTTCAACAAGGTCTGGATAGCCATGCAGAAATAGAACTGGATTTTAAAAAGGGATGAACTAATGCTATAGACGGAGTGGGGAAACTCAGCAAGGGCATCTAGGTTCTTCCTGGCCTCTCTATACAGCGTTCCTTTCTCCCAGACACGGGCAGGACCCCCTCTAGAAGGGAGTCTGATGACCTACAGTGAAACTAGGTAGGTCAGATCGTTTCTTTACAGCCAGTTTTTAGACAGAAAGGCGGGGGGAAGTTAGAGTCATATTTTTAGGTTTTATGGTAACAGCTTTGGAGAAAAGGGGTTCTGGTTTCTATGACCCACCTTGGGGAAGAGGGATTCTAGTTTCTATGGCTAGCCTTGGGGGAGAATAAGGAGCCAGAGATTGGGTGGGGGGAATGGGCGTGATGGCTCACGCCTGTAATCCCAGCACTTTGGGAGGCTGAGGCCAGCGGATCACCTGAAGTCGGGACTAGCCTGGCCAACATGGTGAAACCTCGTCTCTACTAAACATACAAAAATTAGCCAGGCATGGTGGCACACGCCTGTAATCCCAGCTACTCAGGAGGCTGAGGCAGGAGAATCATTTGAACCCGGGAGGCGGAGGCTGCAGTGAGCCGAAATCACGCCACTGCACTCCAGTCTGGGCGACAGTGCAAGACTCCTTCTCAAAAAAAAAAAAAAAAAGAGAGAAATTGGGTTGGGGGAAGGGGAAGGGGAGCAGGTGGCGGGACAGGAGAAGGTTAAAAAAACTTTTGCTTCTGAGGTCTTCATTTTGGGGTATCGTTTTCTGAGCCCCAATACCACATCTCCACATCTGTCACACTGGCCACGGAATATAATTCACCACATGCTTGAAGGGCCATCCCATGACATGCATAGCAGTTTTTTGCATGTAGTGAGAGGCAATGATTGGCTTAAAGGCTGTGTTCCCTCTCTTGTAAGCTCCCTAGGGTGAGGACCCTACCTACTGCACACTGTGTCCTCAGAGCCCAGTACATGCATGGCACTCTGTAGCAAAGTCCGCTGGAGTTGAGTAATTCATTGTATACCCACGCAGGGCCAAGCTCTGTGCTAAGTGCTTTGAGTGCATGGCCTCTCTGAATTCTACCTGAGTTCTCAGGCTGCACCTTTATTGGACCCATTTTTAAGGATGGAAACTTGAGGCACAGAGAAGTTAAGTAACTGTACCAAGCTCCCACAGCCAGGAAGTGGCACTGCTCAGATTCAAACCCAGGTTGACTGAACAGGCCAAGTTGGAACAGCTGCCTTTCCTGTTTTGGGACAAATCTCTAAGTGCTCTAGATGTGCAGGCAGTGACAGAAGGGGCTAGGTGGGCTTTCACTCACTCAGCATCTCCTCCTCTCCCCTATTCTCTGATATGGATGATAGAGGTGTTGTCAAACATATCTAATGTAACTTCATAACGAGTCCCCAGTTGCATCTTCTGACCACATTGCCCTCCATAGAAAATGCTAAAGCCAAGGCCAGGCATGGTGGCTCACGCCTGTAATCCCAGCACTTTGGGAGGTCAAGGCAAGTGGATCACCGGAGGTCAGAAGTTCGAGACCAGTCTGGCCAACATGGCAAAATTCCGTCTCTGCTAAAAACTACAAAAAATTAGCTGGGCGTGGTGGTGTGCACCTGTGGTCCCAGCTACTCAGGAGGATGAGGAAGGAGAATCGCTTGAACCCGGGAGCCGAGATCGTGCCACTGCACTCCAGCCTGTGCGACAGAGCAAGACTCCCTCTCAAAAAAGAAAAAAAGAAAAGAAAATGCTAAAGCTATCACTGCCTAGAACATATTTACAGTTCACACTGGATAGGTCACACATGCACATGCCTGGCATACACCATTGGATGTTTTGTGTACAATCCAATTCAGAAACAACATTTGCATCCAGTGCACCTGCACGCAGCCTCTGTTCCATGTTCTCAGGGATCACATCTGCCTGCAATTCAGCTGTGCAAGGGTGGTCACAGGCACTGGGTGTGTCCCTGGCCTTTTCCTCTGGGGTCCAGTGGGCACAGCTCCAATGGACTCCTGTCCTGTGGCCAACACTCAGTCGAAGTCACTGCAGGCAGGGGCAGAGCTGACCAGGAAAGGCACCAGAGGCCGGTCAGAGGGTGGGCTCCTGGGATGCTTTGTGGGTGGGGGTGTTAGAGGTGCTGCTTTTGGAGGGTTACTGGGCAGGGCTGTCTTAGCTTAGGCTCTCCTCCAAAAGCAGGCTCTGGAAGGAATGTGATAATGAGTGGGCAACTGGGGCTCAATCCTTCAGGGGACCCCCTAAGGGCATACATAGAACACATCTCAGAATTGTCCCACTGAGGATTTAAGAAGCTGGGATATTGATCCACAAGGCCCCAGCCCTCTGGGGTTGAAGGTTGATTTGGGGGTTAACTTTTCAGTGCTTCCAGCTTACCCCTCTCTGGAGCAAAAAATCCTCCAAAGCCCCAGGGGCAGAACAATGCAGGTGCTCGAGGTAGGAGGCCCTCGGGCCCTCCCTGTGAATAGAACCAGACACGGCAGCCACAGATGCCTCTGGCATGGGCAGGGCACCAGCAGTGTCTGTTGCAAGACCTAGATCAGGAGGAATGCCAACTCCTCAATGCTCCAGTCCTGGGGATCCCAGGGGCCCCAGCCCTCCTTCTTCCCTGCGTCTGTCGCTGAGACCTCTATACTGAGAGCTGCAGTCTGATGTAACCCGGCCTGGGACTTCCCAGCAGTCCATCCTTGCATCTCCCCTGCTGCAGCTGACTTCCAGCTGCTCCTTGTGATCCCCCTCCTTCCTCTGCTCCCAGGTACATGTGCTCCTCTGTGCTGCAGAGGGCGCTGGCCGCCCCCCTGGTCTGGATCCTGCTGGCCCTCCTTGATGGGAAGTGCTTCGTGTGTGCCTTCAGCAACTCTGTGGACCCTGAGAAGTTTCTGGACTTTGCCAACATGACCCCCAGCCAGGTACAGTTCTTCCTGGCCAAGGTTCCCTGCAAAGAGGATGAGCTGGTCAGGAATAGCCCTGCTCGGAAGGCAGTGTCTCGCTACCTGCGGTGCCTGTCACAGGTAACTGGGGTGATCCTCCCCTGGCCCTTGCACCCTCACCAATCCCCCGCATTGGTTCTGGAGTGGGGTGGGGGGTGGTGAGGAGGGACAGATGATGGGCTTAGTCCATTCCCAGGAGGCAGGGAAGCGCTGGAGACCACTGCTCTACCTTGCCTGCGCCCACTGCACACCTTCTTCCCACCCGTGAGAAATAATACTAATCTCCACTTATTGAGCATTTATGTGCCAGGCACTGCAGTGAGCATTTTATATGTATTATTTCATTTCATTTGTGGAACAACCATTATCCTCCCATTCTCCAGGTGAGGAAGCAGGCTCTGAGAGTTTAGTTCATAAGGCCAAAGTCACACAGCTTATAAGAGGCAGAGCAGGGATCCGAAGGAGTGTCATTATTCCTCTTAATCACCTTCCAACAATGTAGGCTCTCTCCAGATGCCGGTCTTCCCAAAAGGCACCAACTCTATTATCTTGGGGGACAAACCCCAGCTCTGCCCCCAGCCTAGACTCCAGATTCCACCTATAGATAATAAAGACACAGCCCCTGCCCCTTGGGGAGGCTGACAGGCTCATGGGCTGGCCAGCAGTGCAATGGAGGGAGGACCCGGGTGCAGGATGCACTTGATTCTGGCTCAGACTGTGACCTTGGCCATGGGACTACCCCTCTGGACCTCAGTTTCTCATGCAAAATACAGAGGAGCTTGGTCTCCTCCATCTTGATGGTCCCTGCAGGCTTCAACACTCTAGGCTTTTCCTAGTCCGGTGGAAAGAGCATGGAATTTGCAGTGAGACCAGGGTTTGAATCCTTACTCAGCTGTAAGTTATCAGTCATGTAAAGTTTATCAAGTTGTTTGCTTTTCTGCTCTCGTGTATAAAATACTCACCTTAAATCTAGTGATGTTGGGGGGAGTCTAGTGAAATGCCAAATGAGAGAGCTTTGTAAATTGTGGAAATCACTTCTGTAAATGATAAGGATTCAAATATGTCCCTGTGGTTTAAAGATGTGACTTTCCTGCTCCAGGTCCACACAACTGCCCCAGGTCTCAAGCTGGGCCTTAAAGAGACTATGGCTTTGGAAGGTAGAGAGGAGGGAGAGGAGTCTGCCAGGTGTGGGCTCCAGCTTTAGAGAACTACTTCAGTTTGTCCTCACTCCTGGCTGGGAACACTGTCCCCTGTTCCTATTGTGTGTCACTGTCATTCAGCCTTCAGTCTCGGCCCTCCAGGTCAGGTTGGGTGTCCCTCCTCTGGACTCCCTCTCTATGACACGTACCCAGTCATCGCCTATTTAATCGTCTATTTCCTCCACTAAACTAAGAGCTCTGTGAGAGCAATGACTGAGCCCCCAGTTCCTAGCACAGTGCCTCCCACCAAATATAACACAGTGGATGCCTAGATGGGAAGACAGACAGATAAGCACACACAAGGATGACAAAGGACTGGATAAAAAGATGAGGGGGGCCGGGCGTGGTGGCTCACACCTGTAATCCCAGACTTTGGGAGGCCGAGGCGGGTGGATCACATGAGGTCAGAAGTTTGAGACCAGCCTGGTCAACATGGTGAAACCTCGTCTCTACTAAAAATACAAAAATTTGTTGGGCGTGGTGGTGCACATCTGTAATCCCAGCTACTTGGAAGGCTGAGGCAGGAGAATGGCTTGAACCCAGGAGGCGCAGGTTCCAGTGAGCTGAATCGCACCATTGCACTCCAGCCTGGGCAACAGAGTGAGACTCCATCTCAAAAAATAAAAATAAATTTAAAAAAAGATGAGAGGACGGATGATGGATGGTTGGATGGGGGGTGGATAAGTAGATAGATCAAGGGAAGAAAGGAGGAGCATATGCGAGCATGAATGAATGGGAAAAGAGATGGATGGATGATGGACAGATGGAAGGATAGTTAGGAGCTTGACTGGATGGGAAGGTGACAGATTTACAGTAAGACAAGAGGATGGATGATTGGATGAGTGGAGAGATGGTTGAATGGGTGGATGGATACAAGGATGAGAGAATGAATGGAAGGGAGAATAGATGCATGGATGAAGGATGGTTGGCAGGACGGATGACTGAATAGGAAAGTGCATAGATTTGAGGAAGGATGGATGGGAAATGTAAAAGGAGGGACTTTGGAATACCTTTGCCACACTATACAGGACAATTCCTCAAGTAGCAGATGCTCTAAGAGTTAATTCACTTTACAAGGCCACAGGGATACAAAAGAGGACATGTGGCCGGGCGCGGTGGCTCAAGCCTGTAATCCCAGCACTTTGGGAGGCCGAGACGGGCGGATCACAAGGTCAGGAGATCGAGACCATCCTGAC